GTTTTTAAAACTTCATAGCTTGGATGGATCTCATTGAGGAGGAGTGCAGTGCAGAAGAATGATAATTTTTGTCCAGAGCATAACTCAAAAGGCCTTTGAGATATCATCATGAAACTTCATAGGTGCATAGATCTTACACAGGAGGTGTGCCGTGCACAAGAATGATAACTCTACCTTTTATAACTTTTTAGTTATTACCCTTTGTTCTTTTCCATACTATTTTGTCCGGATCTTATCTTAAAAAGTATTTGAGGTATCAAATTGAAACTTCATGATGGATAGATTTTACTAAGGAGGGGTGCAGCACACAAGAATGATAACCTACCCTGGATTATTTTTCAGTTATTGTTCTTTGTTATTTTAAGCCATCAGTATTCACATAGGTTTCAAATCTGTAATCACTTCAGCCATCAGTTTTTATTACCAAGAGACCTCTTAAAATGGAATTATTCTGCTCTATTACATATACATTCTTCCAATGAGTAAACACATTCGGCGGGGGATGGCCATGTTGACATGGCTCTTGTTTTACCTTTGTGATGCTTCAATTCTTTTTGTTAGGGACAAAAGTCGATGGTATACTATACTCTGGAAAATCTTTCGTACGAAAAAGTAGTGTAGATTTACTTGTAGTCTTGTAAAACATGAAAAAGGCGTTGTATGGACTTGCTGTGGGGTGACATCCTCTTATTTGAATTGTTTTACTTACAACGACAGAATTGTAGTGCTATGAGGAAAATAAAATGTTGCCCATTATTCAACCCTAGTTTTTCCTTTGCAAAAAAAAATTTAGGAGTGATCTTTTAATTTTCGACATTTTGTATTTGTTGTTGATCTCAAGGATTTCCCTGTCTAGATTTCTATATTAATTAATCAATGCATGCCATACAGTTCACCACGCACGTTATAACGGTTTTTCAAGGACTGGTCAAATATAAATGTTATATAAAATGACAATTTAAGTAGGTGCATTGTTTTGTTTTCTGTAACAGGACACGAACAACTACGATTGGTTGGCGGCAACACAAATCATTCTGGAAGAGTCGAAATCAATATGGGAGGATCATGGGGCACAATCTGTGATGATGATTTTGACAGAGCTGATGCAATAGTGATTTGTAGAATTTTGGGGTATCCGCGACCGTAAGTGTGAACTTCGAGAATGTTCAGTATTTAATCTAAAACTGCAACGTCGTTAATTTCTTTTATTTTCTTCATTACAAATTGGGCATGCTTGTTTATGATCCGTCTCTTTGCTTACTGATGAAAGTATTGATTAAATGATCTATATCGATGTTACAATACATATACAAATAAATACACTTACTCATATTTATCTAGTCACTATGTAAATTTGTCTAAGTACTCTAGATAGTTTGACATAAATAACTAAATTCATAAACACAGTTTTTACAACTAAAAGAAAACTATAACTAATTTGCGTTTGACTAGATATTAAAGTCAGATGACATATATTACTCTGTATTAGAGTACCAGTGCATAATAATCTCGGATTGCCCAAAATAGCCGGAAGGCTTCTTTCACTTGGGGTCCATGGATATATACATAATTGAATATACAACACAATTAAATATACAAAAATACAATGCATGATTCATACTCACCTGATGGAAACTAAATTAGGATTTATTTCTGGTTTAAGTCAACAATCCGCTGATTGAAAATGAAGCGTTTAGCGCTTAACTAAGACGTTGTACACTCCAATATTTTAGTTTATTTCCGGCGGGAATAACGTCAATTGCACGTTGAATAATTAAGGAGATGTTTGGACTAGAATTAAAGTTTTCTAATAGTGTTTGTTAGTTAATTCGTCGTTATGGCGTCGTAGAAGACGAAAACAAATATATTTATTCCGGTACTTCGCGTGTTTTTTATGCTCGTTGAAGATAGGAACACAGCATGCAAGTAAAGAAGAACTTAGACATCTTGCATTTTTGGTTTTTCAAGTTAAAATGAGTTCCATTGACTAAATTCTTAGTTTCTTCTTCTACAAAGATACAATGAATTCAACCTTGGCATGTTCTGAAGATGCTCTGATTTGATATGTCATTTCTTTAATTTTGGTGCACTTTCAAAATAATAGCCACTAAGTGGTCAACTTTGGCATTTCGTATCTTTTGCGATTTTAATATTTACGGTATGTTTGCATATATCAGTTTTGCAATGTCAGGCATATAGTTTGTAAGATCCAGACATAAAGTGGCTTAGATCAGTATTACTTGATTTTGTATTATACCTTTTTTGCTGATCCGACATAGGAAATTCTTGTTTTAGGATAAATTTGGTCAGATACTTACGAATTTATTTTTTTCTGATTTAGATCAGTTATAGTTAATTTACCTTAACAATATTTTGCCTGGATACCTGGATACATCTAATTATGTCTTATATTGAATCGTATTTTATTTCTTGACTTTGATTAAAAATGTTTATGCAATAATTTTAACCATTTAAATACTAGAAATCGTGAAAAGGTTAATAAGGTTATTGCATTTCTATTTTAGTGATATGTATGACTTATCTAATTCTAAATTTAAGGTCATACATTATGTTCAAACTGTTCCTTTATTCGATGCAAGCGAAAACATTAAAGAAATAATAATATATATGTGTTACAGCTTAAATAATGTACCGCTTACTAGCTTACTAAACAAATGTTCGTATTAGACCTTTCTATCTTAAACGGACTCCGCAATACTGAATAAAATGGGGGCTTTTCTCAAAACATAAATGTCGAAAATATGGTGTAAAAATCAATAGCTTTAACTGCAATATGTAGCGTTTTTGTACATGAATATATTTGCTATATTATTTCTATAAACCACCAACACAATAATAGATATAATATAACCAAAAGGTTTATATAGACTAAAAAACAAAACAAGTTTCTTAATTCATATACTTTATTGTCATGTTAATTTTTCAACAAAGATAACTCAGATGACCATTTATATAGAACTTTATGTGTGAGTATGTGCTATAAAAAAGGGACTAAACGTAATTGGTATCACTGCTATCGCTGCTTACGCCAAGTTCACGGAGTATTATTGGAATCTTTTTTGTCAGGAAGCTCCTGTAGAGAGCCTGGTTTTCTCTAATTTGATCGGCAAGGGAGCCCCTTTTCCTCCTGCTATAGGGGAAATCAAGAAACACAGGTCGATTAGTTCAATTTGGCGCCATTCTAGAGTTCTGCTTCCCCCGAGTCGTTAATATATGTGCTTCTTTGGTGCGACGAAGAAAATTGCTGCAACTGATACATTAAAATGACGACTTATGAATTCGGAATGTGAATGAACTGTATATAAAACACACACAAAATAAATAACTGAATTAACATCTAAGTCAACAAAATACATTCAATAAGCAGTTTCTAATGTTATAAGCAGAGAAGTGATGTATTATTTTAACCAAAGAAATTTTTATGTAGTAAATTTTGTAGAACAGTCAGTATATTTATTTTCATTATCAGTGGAATGTATCTTTTCATCTCTTTGTGACGAATGTCACTTTAGAAAATACGAAACCCTGTGATTTTGTTGAGTAATTAATACAAGGTAAGATTTACTGCTATTACGAAGTATGTTTACGTTTCAGTTTAAGATAGAAAGGTCTATTACTAAATGTTGTGCTATATTTGTTGTTTTTCATTTTATGGCTGTACTGAAGCCTGATGGATTTAATATGGTGTCTTGATCAATTTAAACATGCAGGTGGTGCATTAATCAGCTTATTCGGTTATGGTGAACTCTAGCTTACACGATGTCAGGGATTTGAAGCATCATATATTATGTGATCTACAGTATAAAACAATCAATTCTATCATCGGTTTTACATTTTCCATTGGACAACATCCTTTCAATATTGTACTTTGAAAGGGAGTGTTCAACCTGCGACCACCTTCAATTAAAATTAAACCTTTACCTGAATATAATTTACTTAAAGTTATTAAAGCTTTTCAAAATTTTCTTTGGAACTTTTGATGAAAACATCACTTAACCCATTAATGTACTTCATAAAGTCGTCTTTTCACGCCTTTCCATCCCCTTTTTGAAGCCTTAAGTAGTAAAAATTCCCTATTTTGACACCAAACACTTGTTTTCGTTTAAGAAATTATGTTTTAAAAAAGTGATCATTTTTTCGGCGCAACCCCCTATCAAATAGATATACAGTGGGTGCCAGAGGGGGATGTACCATCTATTTTGCGTTTTTAAGGGTGTCGGCAGACCCCCTCGTCTCAATTATTTTTTACTCATGAGAGGTTAAAAATGGCATCCAGTCAACCTAAATGTTATGTGTAACCAACGCTGGGAAGCCGTTGACTCTATCTCAATCCATTGAGAAGTTGCAGCATTTTGAAATCAGTTTTGATGGAAACATCAACGCACAATAATGATTTTAAACAAGTTTGAGATAACCTCTCGTTGCCATGGTGACAGGGTATTGAAGATTGAGTATGCCGTTACAAAGGCTATGGTACAGTCAACATTATTGCCAAGTTTGAACAGTATTGAAGCCTTTTTAGAGATTCATAGCAAATTGAACTTGTAACAGGAGGCTTTTCAATGAAAAGCCATTTTTCACAAAATGCTCATAAAGTAATAGGTTACATATGTACATGTAACTATTGAAGCTGCAATTACAACGTTCTGAAGGAAGAATAGGCGACTAACAGGCATCAAAATAAAACGCTTTAGGGTCTACAATGTGCGTAAGAGATTCAGATATAGTTTAAAGCAGTACGCCTCCAGAGTCATGCTTAATTTCATGAAACATTTGAAAATGTCTTTGAATGTGTAATTTTGTAAAGTCAGCAAAAGAAAGCAATTAACATATTATCAATGGCACTTACAAACCACGTAAATAGCCTTTAATGCGTTAGAAACGCAGAAGAAATATAGTTGTAAATACTGAAAAATAAGTCATCAATCGCGCATAATAATTATGACAAATATTACTTGAATCTTGAAAATCTTTACTTTTCCTTACATCTTAGTACATTTATCTCAAGTTTGATTTTATTGAGGCTTGTAGCTTTAAACGCTAGACGCATAATTTTAAAGGAGCGGATTGTTGATTTAAAACGGGAATATATCATGATTTATTTAATTTTACCCATAAAATATATTGCTATATCAGTCAAATATATGTCATATTTTTTAAAAATAAATATGAAATATAAATATGAAAGTGGGCGGAGTCAAAACATTTCGCCATTTTGTTTGAAAAAATCTGATAAATGCAAAACAACTTTTTGTTGAATTTTGCTTTGAAACTATCTAGAATGATAGAAAATGGTCTAACTAAGAAAATAAATCCGGACACCAATATCTTTAATTTAGTTATTAACGCTGTACAAATGTTTAAAGGGTTGTTTACGTAACGTCACAATGTAGCGCCAAATATCGCGTGCAAGACAAGACGCAATAATATATTACTGCGCGCTGTACAATTGCAGTTGCGTAGTAAGCAATGGGGTTCGTAACCATTTTTCTTTGATAATGAAATTAAATAAAAAGAATTTTTTTTTCGTTTTTTTGTATAATATGGTATATATTTTCACTCAACATGATAAAATGCCACATATTTTCACTCGACGTCCCGGCTCGTGAAAATATGTGACATTTTATCATGTTGAGTGGAAATATATTTCATTTTACACTCAAACGAAAAAATATCCTCTTAGTATTTTCCATTCGGTGAGAATAAATCATGACATTTGATTACAATTTTCATATTTTGTTATAATTTTCTTTACGCGAGTAACAAAACATAAAGACTGATATCTAATCAAACTAAGGAAATTTATAAAGAGTCCCTTGCATTTTCTTGTAAGTGGGTTTTGTCGGATCCAATCTTTGTACTATTTATATGTCTATAGGCAAAGAATTCAAACCACTGGCTGTACTAAAAGGTTATAGCCTTTTGCCTTAAAATTCGAAAATGTACTTTAATTACTATGTATGTCTTTGACATAAACAAAGTGGTCTTTCTTGTATGAAGGGCACTGGTTGATAACAATTTTAAATAAATGGTAAAGATATTGTATATGTTTTGCTTATGTCTGGTTGTTCATTTTTAATTTAAACAAAGACACATCAGCAAGATCAACGTTGTTGAATTTTCTCCTGGTCGCATGCCATGCATAATTCCTATGATTTATTTAAAAAAAATGAATTTTATATTCAGCTTTCCTAAGCACAAAAATAACTACTTTGATGCCCCTGTGCCCGGTTTCTGTCATTCGTCGTTAATATTTTTTATTTAAACGACATCTTTCTCTTAACCCTACAAAAATATTGATAAAACTATACAGGAATGATCTTTGGACGGTCCCCTCGAAACTTTGCTCATATGGGTCAGGGCTGCTAAACAAGACGTCACAGGAGCTAAAACTAGAACACTTTTAAACGACATCCCTTCATCAACTGTTTGATAGACTTTGATGAAATTATACAGGGATATAAAAAATGTTATAAAAATTGCTTACAATGTATATGGTTTCGGTCCCTGGAACAAGATTATGACTACAAGTGCTTAAAAATAGAAAAAGTTGACATCTTTAACTCTACTGCCCAATACATTTTGATGAAACTACAGAAATGATAATTGGGCAGTCCTTTACTAATATTGCTTGAATAGTTCTGGGGAGGGACTGTTACACAATGGATGGAGTTCTTATGAAAACCTGTCAGGAGATCTTGTGATAGCTATCACGGAGCTCGTCGGTTAACTTTTATATACGTTTATATACTACAAAACACTCGTTATAAATAGTAATTTTCATCTTTAAAAAGTGAGGTTTATGTCACTAACGTTTATGATTAGCACCTACTTCTTAGCACCTGTAAAATTCGCTTTTTTAAAGATGAAAAGTATCATTTTTTGACGAGTGTTTTTGTAGTATATACAAAAGTTTTCAGACGAACTCCGTGACATTCGTCACAAGAACGCCTGACAAGTTATCATAAGTCCCCCCCACCCTCGTGTAACAGATCCTCCCCCGTGTTACTGTTAGAAAATAAAAGAATAATGTACAGGACAATATAGATTTCATGTTAATGTTCTTTATCAGGGAAAGAGCAATTGCTTACTCAAATGCACACTATGGGCAAGGTAATGTGACTGTTCTTATAAGGAATTTGGACTGCAATGGGATAGAGGTAAACATTGGTCAATGCGATCCATCCTTTGACGCATCAAGTCACTGTGACCATTCTGAAGACAGTAGTGTGGACTGCTGTCGTAAGTATAATATAATGTTCTCAAGTTGTTACAATAAAACGTATTTGCAGTGTTATCGTAAACGAGTTAAAAAGTAAAAACTCACAATATGAATATAAAGTGTCAATTAAATAACGAAAGTTTTTTTTAACAAAGACCAACTTTACCTTGTTGATCTTTCTTCTTGTTTTTTTACTTGTCCTGTTATAGGCAACGCAGCTTCCCATACATTGTTTATTCATTAATTTTTTTCAAATAAGACATATATTCAGTAAGAATTTCATAGCTTTCAATTCATTTATGGGAGTAAAATATTTTACTTAAAAATGAGCATTGTATATATTGCACTGACTACAACGTTTCCCTGTCGACAAATATACAATATATAAATATGATTAAAGAATGAAATAGTTGTTTCTTGTACTAAAAACTTGCTCCTCTTTCTTTTGCAGCAAATTGCGGCATTGGGGGTCAGATAATAGGATAGATAAGCAAACGATGTTGAATTAAATTTGTTGTATAAGGACAGAATAAAGTGTCTCTATTGATTTGTGTGCTTCGTTTTTCACACGAATTGTGATTGACCATGAATATAAAATACGTTATTTATTGTCAAAACTATTAAAATAGAGAAATGCAGAATCCCTCAAGAAAGTCCAACACAACAAAATTGAAACTGTTGCAGGCTCGGTTAAAACAATCTTTATGCCCTTTCTTGACATCAAATAACCCATTGATGAACACTATAAGACACAATGAATATAATATTCATAGAATTTGTTGTTGTTTAAGATAATGGTGGTGTATTATATTGCGTGATGATGTTTAACTGTATGGTAAATAAAAAAATCTGAAAAAAGTGATCCCTCGGAAGCATTAAAACAGAAAAATTACATGAAAATTGCAGACTCGGTTTGATCGAGTCTGTACATGAGGGATTATAAAAAAGTGCGACATCCTCCCACCCTGGTTCCGGCTCGAGCGGTAATCAATTTCCAAAACTAAAAGTGCTGCACTCAATGATCCCGAATAACCAAATATAACAACACTGAAGTGAAGGACGGTGCAACTTTTAACGGTCGCAACACAACACCTGACACCTGCTGTTGCGATGTACAAATAAATTGAAAATGGTGTTCCTTCGAAGCATTGTAAACAGCAAAATTGCATTAATATTGCAGACCTGGTTAATTGAGTCTGTACATAAGTGATAATGAAAAAGTGCAACATATCTTACGCCCCTTACACCGGCTTGCTCTATACCCGATTCTCAACAATATATGTGCTGGACTCAATAAACTCGAAGGACTAGAAAAATATAACAACACTGAAGTTAAGTACGGGGCGACTTTTACGGCTGCCACACAGCACTTGACATCTGCTGTTGTAATGTATAAATATCCAACAAAATATGAATATTTTAAGTTTTTAACTGGTGAAAATATTATTTAATTACGTTTAGATTAATGAATTAACTATTACATTATATTTAATAATTTAGTTTAGTGGCCACTAAATAAATTAAGTAAATCTTTTAAACAAGAGGGCCCTGAATCGCTCACCAGACACAACTGTTTTTCAGCGAGTATAGGGATTTTTTTCAAATAAACTTGTAGAAAGACAAGTTCAGCTCAACTTCAACTTGCCCTTCTAATTATAAAGTTTCCCGACACTTATTGTTTTGTTTTTCCTTTATAGTAAAAATGATAGGAACAAAGGTTGCTCATAAAATTTGCATATGACTTTCTTTCGAAATTGTGATCTTCTCTTTTTACTTATCTTAAAAATTAGATAATACATAATCTCAGTATTAAGATATACATGTAATTGTTTGTCAGGATGACACCACCGGTAAATAATTAAGATAACATAGTAATACTTGTCAACTTGATCATAAAGTTAATGTTTCTGGTTAAATTATTTTACTCTCTAATGGAAATGGAAAAAATTGTAACTTTTACCTCATAGAGGAAAAAAGCAAAAGGTTGTTTTGATGAAAAATATTCAGTGAACAAGAAATTTCTTTTAATAAAACAACTTTACACACAGGTTGGAAAAGTGATATCGTATGAAACAGTGCAAAATTACTTTGAACAAGTGATAACCAAAATGTGATTCTGAATAGATTTAATTGAAACACAAAGAATAAAAATTAACAAATTACATAAATACAAGCAAGAAAAACTGCTTATGTTGACATGAATTTACTAAAATCTGAAGTTCTGTTCCTTAATGTAAGATGCTAATTTACAAGAGAAAGATAAAAAATTATTTTAGCCATATTTTTATGATTTATGAAATAAATTCAAGTTTATAAACATTTAACACACTACTTTGAGTGTTTCTCTATGGAAATACTATTTGAATATTACTTAAGGAAGAATAATAAATAAGAACAAAAATACATCAAATAACTGAAATCAGGGAAAGTGGTTATACAGTTATACAGGAGAATACCCGTTCAGCCTAATGGGAGGCACAAAGGTCCATCGATCATATTCATATTACACAACAGATAATGTAAATGAGTCTCAGTGAAAAACGATCACATTTATGTTACACAGTGACAATATCCCATGCACATGAAACATCAGGTTCAACAGTGTGTCCCAATATTTATTGAAATGTAGTTTCTCCAAGTTCCAGTTCACACAAAAATTGAAAAATTACAACAATTCTTAACAAAATTCAATAAAAATGAGCATGTTAGTAAGGTACAGGAACAAATATAATCTTTTTTAGGCCTTATATCATTCCCTGGGACTGATCTACAAATGACCCCGAATTCTAGAGCTGAAATATATTAAGATAAACAGAAGATATATTTATTTTAACCATTGCATTTGTGAACAATAGTTTCAGAAATAAATTTTATTCTATACAATTGAGCTTTGCCATTGTGCAGTTGTGTCTAGTGAGGTCCTATTTTGGCATGTCAAATGTACAGATATGTAAACTATTCAGATACAAAGCACATGACCTCAAATCATTTCTTCAAGATCTCTGAAAAGAAAACAGGTCATGACATTTAGACTGAATCGTTTTTTAGAAAAGTTGCATAACATGTACACATGAATGAAATACATTCTAACATGAGTTGTTTCGCTTTCATTATTAAAACTATAATTTTAAGAAAGGCCAGGGGCATTTTAACTTTAGCAGCCCCAAGAAGGGGCCAATCAAATAAATATGAGCCAACTTAATAAAAGTCTACATAAGAATGCGACAGACACAAATTAGTGGTCATCCATCAATTAGTCCTGTAGAAAGAGACGTGAAAAGTTTTTTTTTTCTATTTTAGCTTTAGCGGCCCCTAAAAGGGGCCAATCAGATTCATGTGAGCATATTTTATCAAAGACTACCTAAGAATTCTACAGACACAGTTTGGCGATCATTCATTAATTAGTTCTGAAGAAGGGTTTTTAGTCTCTTTTTTTCTCTAGATGCTGCTTAAAGGGGTCAATCAAATTAATTTGAACAGATTTGATAACAGACTATCTTAGAGTGCTAAAATCAAAGTTTGGTGAAAAAACATCAATTAGTTCAGAAAAAACAAATGTTTCTAAGTTTTTTTTTATATTTTCAGCTATTATCCACCCCTTAAAGGGACCAATCGATTTATGCAAACAACGTGTTAATCGAGATAAATTTCCATCACATTTTCAAATTTTGTTTTATTTATGTTGTATTACTGTTACATACTGTTATGAAATACATGTAAAATAAAACAGTGATTTATAACTGAAAATGCATATTAACTTTCAGTATTTACAATTATCTTATACGTTGTAACAAAATATTTACTATATAAAGAAATAGTTATTAAGTAAATTTAAATACATATATGTAACTTACTTAAACAATAAAAACCTTCCCAATCTAAATTCTTTACAAAGTTTAACAAACATATTAACAACGAAAAACATGTCTGTCACTTACAAATAAAGATATCAAAAACTTAAAAAAAATAAACAACAAATAAAAAAAAACAACTAAGACGACAGGCAGGCAGAAAAAATGATATGCCAGTTTTATTTTTTTAAGTACATAAGAATCTTGAGTGAAACTTTAAAGGATTGATCGGCACCTCAAGCACACGGGTTTAATTTTTCGGTTAAATGATTTTGGCTGAGTAATGGCCCTTGAATGAAACAAAAGCGTTTTGACCTGTGTCTCCTGCTACAAACAGTAGCTCCAACATGCTACAAAATAGCCGCGGCATAATATATTGATCACCAATGAATTGCTCAAAGGCGACATATGTGTAAGGTAGTGGATGGGAGGGAGTTCAGGGATATTGCAAATAAATAAAATTACCTCAGGTAAAACGGTTTTGTCATTGTCACCTTTTTGCTTTGTTTCTTTCAGTTTGTGGATTTTCCATTAAGTTAGGGTGTTTCAAAAATACTATGAAATTAAATAAAAAGTTTACCTTTTCGACGCAACTATCAAAGTTGTAATTTCATGAGACAACACTTCTATAAAGTGTTCCGAAAGAAATGACATGTTTTCTGGTATAAGCAGTCCCTGCAGGGAAACGGGGCTAAAAATTGGGTGTTATCATAAATTTTGGCGTTCATTGAACACCGCATTCCTTGTTGATCTTGTTTACCATATTCCTTTTGACTTTATTTAAGAGTCCAATACTTTGAAAAAGAACACATTTCATTTTTAATATTAATTTATTTCAATTTATATTTACTTAACGTACCAAGTATTAATCTATTGTTAACAATTTTACTTAATAATCACAAATATAATCCAATGTTTAACTTAACAAATCAGTCTTGCTTATTTATTATATTTCATCCACATGATAAAATTTATTTAGTTAAAGCAAAACTTTCCTGCATTTATAATTCAGCACGACAAGAAAAGCATGTGAAAAATGAGTACATTATTATCTCGTGCACAATAATTCACCGTCGGGGAACTAAAACAACAGGTTTTGTAATTGCACGTGAAAAGCATAGTAGTGGTTGATACAAGATGTACAAAATATACTACGTCACCAATGTAATAAAATAGTTAAAATGCATTTTTTTCTGGCGTCAGAATACAGTAGAGTTGAACCATTCAAATACGTATAAATGTTCTTACTCATAGGCATTTAGTAAATATGTTATTGCAATCTTTCCACCTACCCAACTATAGTTTTAGCATGCCTTAAGTGTTTTTTATAATTCAGAGATGATACTGATGACAGTTTATTCTATGTTTCTAAAAAGGGTCTGTTTTAATATGCTAGTAAAGTCCCATAAGGGCGTTTATTTCTATATTCACGGGGTTCGAGTGCGTGCAATATTAGAAAAAGCTTTCATAGGGAAAATTTTAAAAATAATGGAAAACCTTTAGATACTAATTATTTGTACTTCGGAATTTTTTTTCTTATTTATATTTTTTTGTAAAAATCAAAATGAAAAATGAAAAAAAATTAAAGAACGATGATCCATAAAACATGCCCTTGCTTAAACATAGTACCGTTTGACTTTTCAGCTTTACCAGCCAAGGAAAATTATTCCGTCACTTTAACAAATTATTTCATGAATTTTA